CTGTCTTACAAGACTGTTGCGCTGATCTTGGGAGGAAAATCGACGCTAAATATCGGAGAGTTCCATTCAGTGAGCAGTTGCTAAGCGGCGTAAGCGCCACGAATAGCACGAACTACAGTTTGACTGTTTGAGTAGAAGTATTGGCGCCGAGATCTTTATTCTGAAGTGCAATAAGGTAAATTAAATGTGATATGTAAATTTTATTTCTTTTTAGACAGCATAACAATATTTTTAAGCGAACAAGATGCGCGCCATGCATATGTAAAATTGTAACTTGAATACGCGTATCTTGAATAGATTTAGGCATTTAGCTATGAATTTTGATTTACACAACAAATTTGCATATTTGTAATTCTGCGATTGAAGGTCCGTCAGAACCACTGATATACACTAAGACTGGATAGAGCATCGTAATAGAAGGCCCAATCGAAAAGTGAAGCTGGTTTGAAGCCGGAAGTACGTCATGTTTTGAGACCGGGCGCCATGTTGAATGGCCCCACTTGAGGAGTGAAAGACTATAGATTCTATTGTAAAACTGACATTTTTCGGAGTTTTCGCCTTATACTCGCTAAGTATGCGAGGAAATCAAGTCAAATCTGGTATCTCAAGAACAAGCACACATCATAGAAGAATGAAGAACATTCGAATGTTGAAAGAAACTAAATCGCAGGTAAATAATTTGATATTTTCACCCACTGGTTTTGATCGTCGAAATATCAGATCCGACCGAACGTCAGAACACAGCACTATACTCTGCAGATTACGAAGTAATTGTGATTTTTCAGTATAGAATAGTCACTTACTACCGTACTAAAACAATTATTTAAGTTTTTGAGTGACTAGGTAGGTTTTAAGTGGCATAACATGACCATAGTGTGCAGTTAAAATGTAATTGACATTTTATACCTTGGCTGGCAAATTTGTTCTAATAGACTAACTGGCCAGGGTGCTTTCCATGTAAACTACGCCGGAGATGGGTCAACATATGCGATAGTTCACGCCAATACAATGGAGATTTTAACTTTGGGGACCAAAATCCATCTTAAAATGGCTAACCTGGCATGTTTTATATACTGTTAACATCATATATTTCTTGAAGTTATACTCAGTGAATATGCATACTGTATGACAATCAATTCAGGCACAAACTTACAGCAGTTACACTTATCACTTCTTTTTTAGTGATCTTACGCCAATACACCAGCAATTTTGTAACTTCACCCCGGATATATCGGGCGTGGAGTGAATGGAATGTGCACTGAGGCCACCTATTTCGTTTTGGAGGTTTCATGCAGGGTGCCTGAGTTGTAGGATGAAACCAAACAGACAGATATTATCTGATGTAGTGCACTGTATTTGTTTCAAATGTGAAATGAAATGTGTGCAATGTATGTATAATATTGCGGCGAAAGCCCTGAAAATTGGTTTGAAAATATTCACTATAATTTTTGTATATTGTATTTCAGTTGTACTGAAGACTGTACAAATTCAACACAAGAATGTAAATGCTATGAAGCTTTGACAACAGTCAATATGCACCTGTAGTTGTTGTGTTAGTTTATATTACATTAAAGATCTTTATCAACTTGTGCTGTTGTCAATACCATCTGCATTTTTAATCTGCATTTCTACCATTTAAATAATGGAGAAATATTATAGATTCAGAGTGTTGTGGGTTTAGCTGGTCAGGGGGAAGAAAATAAATCCATTTTGATACATGACTCAAATCGCTGAATGGCCCAGGAGCCTTGTTCTTGTGAATCTTGAGCATTTAATAGCAAATAGCCTTCTATCTTTTTTTCATGAGATTGAATACTTCCAGGCCAAGGAAGTATACGTGATAAAATTACCAAACAGAAAACAGATGCATTGGGAGATGAGACATAAAGGGGTAATAGTGAAGGGAGTAAGCAGGGATGGATTTACTTGGGGTGTGCACCCCCCCTCCCCCTAGCCCTGGCCAGAGGAGGTGCAGGGGGCGCTATTTTTCATGATAACGCAAATAATTATTAGAGACAAAATGAGATACAGTAATTTGAGTAATAACATGATGATGAGCGAAGTGTGAACAACAATTACAATTCAAATACTGTAGTCAAGCAAGACTTTGCTGTAGTGAAGTAATTTGATGGGCTGGCAGCACACATGACCGACACAACTTGGCACCAGAGCTGGCAGAGCACCTCCCCCCCCCCCCTCCACCAGATGATGCTGGATCCATCCGTGGGAGTAAGTGTTGAGGAATCACTGAACAAATGTAAATTTGCATGAACATTTCATTAGTAAGTATTCGGTAGTCAAGACAATAAGCAAATACAATAGTAATTAAATTTTGCAGCTTTAATTTGACCAGTATTGGTATTCACAAGTTCATTTCTCAAAGCATCTCTGAATACAATATCTATGAATACAAATTGTCAAATAAGCTGCCAACTATTACATTGATTGGAGCATTGACTGCACAAACAGTCCACAAGGAAATCAACTACCATGAGTGCTGCAATGTTCTTGGCTGTTAAGTCAGCATTCTGTCTTCCCAACTCCTGCAATTAAAATATCAGGGTAATCTAATGTGCCATCATTATTCACAGAACTTGATGACCACCACATGGGGTCATCCATTTAGTTCAAATGTCTGAAATGCAAGGGAGTTAAACATTTTTCAGTTATCGTCCGCCACACACAAATTAATTGAAGTTTCATATAACTCAAATATAAAATTATCCCATCACGATTTAAGTTTTAACAGCCATGACAAAGGTCATATTATTAATGGAAAACGTACCTGTTTTATTATACAGCAGTCAGCAGTCAATATCGCCGTTAATTGTACCGCCTAAATTGTTCAGTTAGTCAAGCTGCTTTGTATTTTGAATCAGAATTCCTAACTAAATGACCCAACACTTGAATATGATCTAATCCTTGTCCTTTTGGCCTCCATTGACGAGTCTGGCGTTCACATGTTCAGTCCTCGCACAGACCCAATCATTATTACGACGCAAAACTTCGGTTTTCTCTGCGATTTCATGGTTAAAAACTTCAAATTTACCTCTTGAAGCATTCATGTTATATATTCCTTTCCTGAAACAAGGTTTGTTTCGGTCCAAGGGAAGAGAATAAGCGTTTTAAAGCGAAAACTATACATTCTGTAATAGAAATCTATAGTATTCACTCCTCAAGTGGGGCCATTCAACATGGCGGCCGTCAGTTGCCGTCAGCTCACTTCCGGCTTCACTTCTGAACACCGGATGCTCTATCCAGTCTTAGTGTATATCAGTGGTCAGAACTCACAAGGTCAGGTTTTATAGTTGAATGTTAAGACTTTAATATTGATATATGTTTGAGTAATATGACACTGTAGTGATTACTAGTCAAGTGATCAATGACTCAACAAGGCTATTAGGCAACAGAAATGAGTGTAGTGCTATCATGAGATAGTTAAACTAGATTGTACATCCGAAAACTTTGACTAACGTACGAAAAATCTTGGATCCGCCCCTGACTTGCTTGTCTAAATATGAAGTCGCAGTACATCAGTACACTGGTACATCACTAAATATTTAATTTATTTAACTGCCTGCGCGCGTACGTCGTGCCAGTGAATGGTATTAATATGTTCTTATTAATTAAAACTAAGAGCATCTTTCAATTTTAAAATGTGGACGCCTTTACAATAAAGAAACTGATTTTTTCTTTGAAATTTGTTTCAAAAATTATGGTTGGATATCGATGCTACGTGAACAAATACATATGTTACGAGTTTGATTGTGGGCTTTCCTATCTGTTGTGAGCAGGTTTGATATATAGACACGCGTATCAACCCGACCTGCTTGATCTCAATGTAAACTCGATAAACTTCTTCTTTTTTTTTCTTATAGTGATTTCCTTTGTCTTTTCCTCATGAATAATAAATGAGATTTTTATTTAGATCTAGAAGCATTAATTCATGTATGCTTTCTTCATTATTATGTAAATGTATCCTGTATGTTGATTTGAATTTCATTATATAATTTTTATATTGCAAAATTGTATTACCTATGGTTGATGTTTGAGCAAAACGAAGCCTGTCCAAGCCGAGCACGTATTTCGGCAAAATCATATTCTATACAGACATAGTATGGTGTGTTATGTTTTGTCTGAGTTTATATGTAACAGCCATGGTGATTGATCTCATTGCATTTTAATTCGTATGATGAAGTATAAATTTCCAACAGGAAAAACTGGGGTGCAACGCACAACCAGCATGTGTAGATATAGGTAATAGATTTGAAAGCTATAAACGTGGTTTGAGAGATTGCTGCAGTACGCTTCTTGTTATTGATTCGAGAATGCTTGTCAAAACATCTGGAAAGTAATTAGCTATAAATAATTCGGGTGCCCATTTGTTTTGTAAATTTACCATCAATGTTGTCAATTAGGTCACAATATACTTATACCGCCGCAAATCTTTTTATTCAATCGTTAAAGACTGTTCTAAAGCGCATTCTAGCGAAGCTATATATCTTTCAAGTTACCAGCTGGAAAGAACGCAGCATACCCTATCAAGCCTGCATAACAAGTCTTATATTAAGGTATATTAGCTAGTATATATCTTTCCGCAATAACTTTTATGGCTTCAAAATTGACACAATTTAACACAAACGATTTCATGGTCCATTACTACTAGCAGCTATACTTATTGAAACCGCGACAAATAATATGACGCACGGCTTTGGGTATTAAATCGTAAAATTCGATTCAAATACTAAAGTTTATAATCGCTTACCATCCTGGCAAGAAGTGGAAAAGGTTCAGAAAACACACGAATAAAATTGACCTCATCTTGTTCTTCTCCGGATATTGAATCCTCTTCGTTGATCTAACTGACTCGAACTAATATTTTATATTATTGTTTCAGACTTCATATGCGCTGTGTTACGTCTCAGTTTTCGAAACTGGATCCGACCAATGACAAGGTTATTAATTTAAGGTGAAGAGGGTTATCTAACCACTGACTTAAATTAAAATCCTCGCATGTCTTGATCACGTTTGACGGAAATTTCCATAGAAAGCGCAAAAATATAGGTTCAAATTTCAAATTTGAACCTTTTGCACAGCCCAAGCTTCTGTTTCGGGCATAATTTTGCAACTATGTGCAACTAACTGTCATAATAAATAATAATATCAATATTTAAACGTCATATGAAACTGGAAACTAAATATTGCGGAATGCCAAAGCCACAGGGGCCAATCAGGCAATTTAAAACAGTTGTTCTCGTGATAAAATATAATTTATCACAATGTAATCAACAGCGATTGATACACCGGGAGGAAAGTGTAATTTAAGGCTCACGCGCTCTATAGGGGTAGGGTAAAACGCGAAAACGGAACGGCGGAATTGTAGAAGCGGAAGCGGAATAAGTGTAAAACGCGGAAAAAAGGGGTAAAACGCGGAAAAAAGAGTAAAACGCGGGAAAAAAGAGTAAAACGCGGGAAAAAAGGATGAAACGCGGAAAAGGGTAAAACGCGGAAAACAAACTTTGAAACCAAACTTTGAATCAAATTTAACAAAATCAAATTTAATATTATTAAATACCATAAAAAAACGAGGTAAATGGACTTGATTACTGTACTTGAATTCTATTTTTGAGTTCTATTTTTTCGGCATGTAACAAAGTGAACTTTCTTTGGAGTACTTTTACTTGGAACGAAGTCGTTTAAAGAAGTAACAGTTTAGTTTTTCTTTACCTTCTAACTTTTGTTTAACCTAACCCTAACCACTAACCGCTAACCCTAATTAATTTAACGTGATGTATTCAGGACTGATTTATTTTAATTTTGGGATAGGTAATAGGACCTCTACATGCGTCTGGATTGATTTCTTATATCTTCAAAGGGATCTGGAGGGTGGATCATGTCGTGTAATATTGTATATTGGGTGCACGCATATAATGGGTTTGTTGTTTTGTATGTCAATCCATGCATTGGAGAAGCCCCCCCCCCCTTCCTCCTTACACGCCAAAGACAGTACTTTTACTTCAAGTATTCCTTAAGGATACTTTGTACTTTTTATATTTAATTAAAGATGATGTAAAATCCGTAATGTCAACAAACGCTTTCTTTACACTTTGAACTCAGTGCTACTGTTGTAAAATGTGATTAGATATATATTATACTGAATTTCTAACACTCTTCTGGTTCGCTATGCTTGTATAAATGCCTACAGACTAGAGATTCAATTCAAGAATGTTCAGAAGGTGCGAAATATTAACAACATTCCAATGGTCGGGTCCCGACAATTGGAATGCAGGCCTGCGCAGAATGTAGGCCAGACTCCACCAGCCCCCTTGTGAAAAGTGAATCTGACATCGTTGGCAGCAGGGGCCGCATTGGTTTCGCATGTTCACCTCTGGTTCGAACATGCTTTGGCTGCTCCCAGTCACTTAAACCTCATGGGGCAATTGCCATAGAGCCGTACGATCTGGTATTAGTGACGAAGATGAATAGAGAATGGCCAGATAAGTTTAAAGGTGAGAAACGCCAGAGTTTCCAGATTGTGTACTTTCACATGAATCTCCGCTGTATTAAAATGAAGCAGTCCTATTTGAGTCCACTAATGGTGACAACACACGATTCAGTTACAGCACATTTAATTCCTGTGCATAAACATTTTCTAACAGAGTTTGGTATAATAATTTAATTGCACATAATCACAGCACCAGTTGACTGTTTGGACTTTGACCTTGTTGTTTTGTTTATTGAGATATAAGTTTGTTTATTGGGACATTACTAGTGTATAAGATGTCTAAAGTTTACCAGTTTTATAAGCAGATAAATGCAAAGTCAAACCATTTACACTTGCACTGAGATATTGATGCGTAGAAAACGTACTAATGGACTTTATTTTTCAGAATATAGCTTTTATAGAAAACATTTTTCCGGAAAGGTTAGCGTCAGAATTTTCCGGAAAAATTTACATAATCGGTAATTACATAATGAGAGAGGCAGGCAGTTTGTATATACACTAGTTTTACATAATGAGGGGATTAAATGTAGTTATTCATATCAGTTTTGACGTATCAATACCACGTTCCGCAATTCCAACATTCCAGGGCCCCCTCTTCGCCAGTTGGGTCCCCTTTTTTACTATTATTTGGTGTGTTAGCCCCCCCCCCATACCTTGTAGTTATATAGGTTAATTGAGATTAATACTTGAGTTATCAGGGTTGTTAATAGCATCAGAATATCATAAATATATGTAGCTTTTTTTATGACACATTACCCTCTTTTCCGTTTCCGCTTTTCCGGTTCCGCCAACCGTTCCGTTTCTGCGTTTTACCCCTACCCATCTTGTGGATTATTTATGACGAATTACCATTGAACTGTCGAACCATGCTGTCAAGTTGCAATGCTCAATCGGACAGGGGTCTCTGTAAAGAACGGAAAACGAAACGACCGAATCCGGAAACGACCGAAAGCGGAAACGACCGTAACAGGAAATTCCCCCATAAGGAATAATTATATTGTTGTTGCTCGACCGCTGGCATATCATTTAGATAAATATCGTCCGAATGTGTTAAGTTGTAAGGTTTCATACTATTTAACTGCTAACAATTTTGTGAATTATTTAATAATCTCACTGCAAGTTATTAACATCCTGAACAATGCTGGTTTTGTTTAATTTAATAAAAACGATATTGCATTCACTTTCTCATTTGACATACGATACGGCTTCCACTAAACTGGCACGCTCGTGATATCGAAAAAATTAAATACATGCTCATGTCAGGTACATTAGTGCTTGGGTCTCCGTTTGGGCATTTAGCGAAAATAGACAAATTTCCTCAGAGTGAGGAACCTTGTCCTTAGAGTGACGAACATTGTCCTCAGAGTGAAGAACCTTGCCCTCAGAGTGAGGAACCTTGACCTCAGAGTGAGGAACCTTGTCCTAAGATTGAGGAACCTTGTCCTCAGAGTGAGGAACCTTATCCTCCACTAGAGTGAGAAACCTTGTCCTCACAGTGAGGAACCTTGTTCTCAGAGTGAGGAACCTTGTCCTCAGATTGAGGAACCTTGTCCTCAGTGGGAGGAACCTTGTCCTCAGAGTGAGGATCCTTGTCCCCAGAGTGAAGAACCTTGTCCTCAGAAAGAGGAACCTTGTCATCAGAGTGAAGAACCTTGTCCTTAGAGTGAGGAACCTTGTCCTCAGAGTGAAGAACCTTGTGTGATAGTGATAGTGACTTTAATGGTTCATAGTTTGCAGTTACAGAAGAACTGTGCACTGAATTATCTACGAATATTTACAAGAAATGAATAGTTAGTCTAAATAGATTACCTATGGATTAGTTAAAAAGTTTGATCAAAATAGTTTTCTAAAATTCAAATGGGAATACATTAAGAATATGTACATTCAAGATTACCTAGATTTTTTTACATATTTGAACTATTACAAAAGACAAAGGAGTTTTTAAGCGATCCGTTCTAGTTCTTGGCACTAAAAGTTTATGGCTTCTTCTTAGGGAATATTGGCATCAGTTCTCCTTTGGAATCAGGTTGTGTAGTTTATGGCTAGTATCAAAATAGGCTTGGAGAAATAGTTTTTTGCACGCTTCCGATGGGCGATCACACAGGGTTTCTAGTTTAGCTAATTGAGGCATTCTTTGTATGAAACGCCAGGAAATATTCCTTTAATACATCGTTTTTGAACTCTTTCAATATCCAAATTTAAATATTGCGATAAGGAATTATGAAAGTCAGGTGAGGTGTATTCCAGTAACTGGCGAATGCATGAACAATATATTTGAATAATTTCATTTGCAGGAACTCGAGCTCTCTTTAACTGCGTGATTAGAGATAGTTGCTTACTGGCCTTGGATACGATGTTATCAACGTGCATTTTACACTTGCAGTCACTGCTGACTGTAAGACCAAGTATTTTCGCGTGGTTTACGACCTCAATCTCTTTGCTGTTGACTCGGATGTGGTTGAGATGATTTGTTAGAGTTTGCATACGCGAAAAATCAATTCTGAGCACTTTACATTTATCCTCATTGAGTTCGGCCAATTTCGAGTGTGTCCATTCTTGAACTTCGTCAACTGGTTCCTGAATTGAACTTGGCTTTCCTTTATGAATGACTTCAGATAGAGTGGTGTCATCAACATATTTCCAAGGTTTGGTACGGGTTGTTGTTAGATCATTAATCATTCATATATACAGCCAAGGACCAAGTTTTGTCCCTTGCGGCAAACCTGAGCGCACTTCATCACATTCAGAATAACAGTTAGATGTTAACTTTACCCGTTGTTTTCGGTCAATTAGAAAATCAATAATCCAATTGATAGTTGAAGACGGAAGATCGCGAGATTTTAATTTCGTTATCAAACTGTTCTGGTCAAGCAGATCAAACGCCTTTCGAAAGTCGAATAGAACTGAACGAATCGTGTTACCTGGTTCGTCCGCGGCTAGCATCCATTTATGCATCATTGAGATCAAGGCTAACGTAGTGGATGACTTAGGTACAACACTGATTGGAGTCGATGACTTTTAGAACTGCTGACTTAAGTTGTCTTTCAAGAATAAATTCTTCGGACAATTCAGACACAACTGGTGTTAAAGAAATAGGAAATAAATGCTTGTTAATGTCTGTTACTTGTGTATTTTTAGGAACAGGAGAAATATTTGCCTTTTTCCACGCCGACGGTAGATTTTCTTGCTAAAAAGAGCAATTTAAAAAAAGGCTAATGGGATATGCCAAATTTCTGCAAATTCTTTGTAAACACAAGAGGGTATACCATCAGGTCCAGGAGATTTGTTTGGGTTGAGAGCTTTCAATTTCGTAAATGTGTCAAATTCAGTTACTTGCACCGTATCGGCAGGATTGAGGAAACTTTTCCTCAGACTGAGGAACCTTGTCCTCAGAGTGAGGAACCTTGTCCTCCGAGTGTGGAACCTTGTGCTCAGAGTGAGGAACCTTCTCCTCAGAGTGAAGAAACTTGTCCTCAGAATGAGGAACATTGTCTTCAGATTGAGGAACGTTCTCCTCAGATTGAGGAACCTTGTCCTCAGAGTGAAGAACATTGTCTTCAGAGTGAGGAACCTTGTCCTCAGATTGAGGAACCTTGTCTTCAGAGAGAGGAACATTGTCCTCAGAGTGATAAACCGTGTCCTCAGAGTGAGGAACCTTCTCCTCAGAGTGAGGAACCTTGTCCTCAGAGTGAGGAACCTTGTCCTCAGAGTGAGGAACCTTGTCTTCAGATTGAGGAACGTTGTCCTCAGATTGAGGAACCTTGTCCTCAGAGTGAGGAACATTGTCCTCAGAGTGAGGAACCTTCTCCTCAGATTTAGGAACCTTGTCCTCAGAGTGAAGAACCTTGTCGTCAGAGTGAGGAACCTTGACTTCAGAGTGAGGAACCTTGTCCTCAGAGTGAGGAACCTTGTCTTCAGATTGAAGAAAGTTGTCCCCAGATTGAGGAACCTTGTCCTCAGAGCGAGGAACATTGTCCTCAGAGTGAGGAACCTTGTCCTCAGATTGAGGAACCTTGTCCTCAGAGTGAAGAACCTTGTGCTCAGATTGAGGAACCTTCTCCTTAGAGTTAGTAACCTTGTTCTCAGAGTGAGAAACCTTGTTCTCAGAGTGAGGAACCTTGGCCTCAGAGTGAGGAACATTGTCCACAGAGTTAAGAACCTTGTCCATAGAGGGAGGAACCTTGGCGTCAGAGTGAGGAACCTTGTCCTCAGATTGAGGAACCTTCTCCTTAGAGTTAGTAAACTTGTCCTCAGAGTGAGAAACCTTGTCCTCAGGGTGAGCAACCTTGTCCTCAGATTGAGGAACCTTCTCCTCAGAGTGAGGGAACTTATCCTCAGAGTGAGGAATCTTGTCCTCAGAGTGACGAACATTGTCCTCAGAGTGAAGAACATTGTCCATAGAGTGAGGGACTTTGTCCTCAGATTGAGGAACCTTGTCCTCACAGTTAGTAACCGTGTCCTCAGAGTGAGGGACCTTGTCCTCAGATTGAAGAACCTTGTCCTCAGAGTGAGCAACCTTGTCCTCAGTTTCAGGAACCTAGTCCTCAGAGTGAGAAACTTGTCCTCAGATTGAGGAATCTTGTCCTCAGAGTGAGGAACCTTGTCCTCAGATTGAGGAAACTTGTCCTCAGAGTGACGAACTTTGTCCTCAGAGTGTGGAACATTTTCCACAGAGAGATGAACCTCGTCCTCAGAGTGAAGAACCTTGTCCTCAAATTGAAGAACCTTGTCCTCCGAGTGAGGAACCTGGTCCTCAGGATGAGAAGCCTTGTCCTCAGAGTGAGGAACCTTTTCCTCAGAGTGAGGAACCTTGTCGTCAGAGTGAAGAACCTCTTCCTCAGATTTAGGAACCTTGTACTCAGAGTGAGGAACCTTGTCCTCAGACTGTAAAACCTTGACCTCAGAGTGAGGAATCTTGTCGTCAGAGTGAAGAACCTTGTCCTCCGATTGAGGAAACTTCTCCTTAGAGTTAGTAATCTTGTCCTCAGAGTGAGGAACCTTGTCCTCGGGGTGAGCAACCTTGTCCTCAGATTGAGGAACCTTGTCCTCAGAATGAGGAACCTTGTCCTCAGAGTGAGGAAAGTTATCCTCAGAGTGAGGAACCTTGTCCTCAGAGTGACGAACATTGTCCTCAGAGTGAAGAACACTGTCCATAGAGTGAGAAACCTTGTCCTCCGAGTGAAGAACCTTGTCCTCACATTAAGGAACCTTGACCTCAGAGTGAGGAACCTTGTCCTCAGAGTGAGGAACATTCTCCTCAGAGTGAGGAACCTTCTCCTCAGATTGAGGAACCTTGTCCTCAGAGTGAAGAACCCTCTCGTCAGATTGAGTAACCTTGACCTGTGAGTGAAGAAGCTTGTCCTCAGAGTGAACAACCTTGTTCTCAGAGTGAGGAAACTTGTTCTCAAAATGAGGAACCTTGTCCTCAGAGTGAGGAACCTTGTCTTCAGAGTTAAGAACCTTGTCCTCAGAGTGAGGAACCTTGTCCTCAGAGTGAAGAACCTAGTCCCCAGGGTGGGAAACCATGTCCTCAGAATGAGGAAACTTGTCCTCAGAGTGAGGAACCTTGTCCTCAGAGTGGGGAACCTTGTCCTCAGATTGAGGAACCTTTTCCTGAGAGTGAGGTACCTTTTCCTGAGAGAGAACCTTTCCTGAGAGAGAACCTTGTACCCAGGTTGAGGAACCTTGTCTTCAGAATGAGTAACGTTGTCCTCAGGCTGACGAACCATGTCCTCAGGGTGGGGAACCTTGTCCTCACATTGAGGAACCTTGTCCTCAGAGTTAAGTACCTTTTCCTGAGAGTGAGGAACCTTGTCCTCAGAGTGAAGAAACTTATCCTCAGATCGAGGAACCTTGTCCTCATAGTGAGGAACCTTGTCCTCAGATTCAGAAACCTTGTCCTCAGAGTGAAAAACCTTGTCCTCAGAGTGAGGAACCTTGTCCTCAGAGTGAAGAACCTAGTCCCCAGGGTGAGGAACCATGTCCTCAGAATGAGGAAACTTGTCCTCAGAGTGAGGAACCTTGTCCTCAGAGTGGGGAACCTTGTCCTCAGATTGAGGAACCTTTTCCTGAGAGTGAGGTACCTTTTCCTGAGAGAGAACCTTTCCTGAGAGAGAACCTTGTACCCAGGTTGAGGAACCTTGTCTTCAGAATGAGTAACGTTGTCCTCAGGCTGACGAACCATGTCCTCAGGGTGGGGAACCTTGTCCTCACATTGAGGAACCTTGTCCTCAGAGTTAAGTACCTTTTCCTGAGAGTGAGGAACCTTGTCCTCAGAGTGAAGAAACTTATCCTCAGATCGAGGAACCTTGTCCTCATAGTGAGGAACCTTGTCCTCAGATTGAGGAACCTTGTCCTCAGAGTGAGGTACCTTTTCCTGAGAGTTAGGAAGCTTGTCCTCATAGTGAAAAACCTTGTCTACAAATTGAGGAACCTTGACCTCAGAGTGAGGAACCTTGTCCTCAGAGTGAGGAACCTTGTCCTCAGAGTGAGGAACCTTGTCCTCAGAGTGAGGAACTTTGTCCTCAGAGTGAAGAACCTTGTCCCCAGGGTGAGGAACCTTGTCCTCAGAATGAGGAAACTTGTCCTCAGAGTGAGGAACCTTGTCCTTAGAGTGGGGAATCTTGTCCTCAGATTGACGAACCTTGTCCTCAGAGTGAGGTACATTTTGCCCAGAGTTAGGAACCATGTCCTCAGACTGAAGAACCTTGTCCTCAGATTGAGGAACCTTCACCTGTGAGTGAGGAACCTTGTCCTAAGAGTGAAGAAGCTTGTCCTCAGAGTGAACAACCTTGTTCTCAGAGTGAGGAAACTTGTTCTCAGAATGAGGAACCTTGTCCTCAGGGTGAGGAACGCTGTCCTCAGAGTGAGGAACCTTGTCCTCAGGTTGAGGAATCTTGTCTTCAGAGTGAGGAATCTTGTCCTCAGGGTGAGGAACCTTGTCCTAAGAGTGAAGAACCTTGTCCCCAGGGTGAGGAACCAGATCCTCAGAATGAGGAAACTTGTCCTCAGAGTGAGGAACCTTATCCTCAGAGTGGGGAACCTTGTCCTCAGATTGAGGAACCTTTTCCTGAGAGTGAGGTACCTTTTCCTGAGAGTGAAGAACCTTGTCCTCAGAATGAGGAACCTTGTCCTCAGAGTGAGGAGCCTTGTCCTCAGAGTGAGGAACTTTGTCCTCAGATTGAGGAACCGTGTCCTCAGATTGAGGAACCTTGTCCTCAGATTGAGGAACCTTGTCCTCAGAGTGAGGTACCTTTTCCCTAGAGTTAGGAACCTTGTCCTCAGAGTGAAGAATCTTGTGCTCAGATTGAGGAACCTTGACCTCAGAGTGAGGAACTTTGTCCTCAGATTGAGGAACCTTGTCCTCAGAGTGAGGTACCTTTTCCTGAGAGTGAGGAACCTTGTCCGCAGAGTGAAGTACCTTGTCCTCAGATTGAGGAACCTTGCCCTCAGAGTGAAGAACCTTGTACTCAGGGTGGGGAACATTGTCCTCAGAATGAGGTACCTTGTCCTCAGAGTGAGGAACCTTCTTCGCAGAGTGAGGAACCTTGTCCTCAGATTGAGGAACCTTGTCCTCAGAGTGAGGAATCTTGTCCTCAGAGTGTGGAACCTTGTCCTCAGAGTGATGAACTTTGTCCTCAGAGTGAGGAACCTTGTCCTCAGAGTGAGGAACCTTGTCCTGAGAGTGGGGAACCTTGTCCTGAGAGTGAAGAACCTTGTCCGCAGAGTGAGGAACCTTGTCCTCAGAGTGAGGAACCTTGTCCTCATGTTGAGGTACCTTATCCTCAGAGTGAGGAACCTTGTCCTCAGAGTGAGGAACCTTGTCCTCAGAGTGAGGAACTTTGTCCTCAGATTGAGGAACCTTGTCCTCAGAGTGATGAACCTTGTTCTCAGAGTGAGGAACCTTGTCCTCAGAGTGAGGAACCTTGTTCTGAGAGTGAAGAACATTGTCCGCAGAATGAGGAACCTTGTCCTCAGAGTGAGGAACCTTTTCCTCATATTGAGGAACCTTATCCTCAGAGTGAGGAACCTTTTCCTCAAAGTGAGGAACCTTGTCCTCATAGTGAGGAACCTGAATTGTCCTCAGAGCACTGATCTGAAATAAGACTGAATAACTCATGTATATTATAGTATAGAAAAGTGAAGACAGAAGTCAACGGCCGGCAACCGATTCTGGTGCCCCACTTTTGTATCGATTTGCATTACAGATGGTATTTTTTCGCGTTTTTTGCCTTGGCTACGTTTGTGATCGGGCCGGTTTTACAATCAGAAAGCGAGAAGAATACAGAAAGAATTTTGCGCAAAAAATTTGAAGTATTATGTCTTTATAACGCCGCGAAACGAGAATTGCAACTTTGAAGGAGTGGAGAGCCTCAGACTTTGCTTATCAACTCGAGCTCGTTTTGCTACTTTCATACAAAATCAACCAAAATATACAAGAATTACTGTTACTGGACGAATATTCTCATGAAATTTGTAGAAATGAATCAGCTACATACTGAACAAATGCGTACTGTGGTTAGTTTTAGAATACCTTGAGCCAGTTGAGGCTAGTTTTATAATTATATGAATAAGGAACAATTTTAAATGTCATATTTGAATTGTCGAGAAGTTTTATATGTTTTAAAGTAGGAAGACAAGTGACAATCAAATATTTTTTTATCCAAGTTAACAATGATTCAATACAATGTTATTATTGGTTGGTTAATATTTATTTATAATTTCTTTCTTATGATAATTCCACAGGCGTCGTGTATATAATTACCTACATGTAGTTCTTCACATTCACAACCTGGTCAAATGTTTTGTGAGATGTTTATTTTGTAATGTCGGGCTATATCATCTTGGCAAGAAGCTACACCTGATGCCTGTGGAAACATTATAAGGAAAAAATTAATAAACTTGTTCTCTCTACAGTAACCATCGATAACAATTGACAATTATGACACATTGTATTGATTCATTGTTAACTTGGATAAAAAATATTTGATTGTCACCTGTTTTCCTACTTTAAAACATATAAAACTTCTCGACAAGTCAAATATGACATTCAAAATTGTTCCTTATTCATATAATTATAAAAGTAGCCTCAAGGTATTTTAAAACAAACTAACCTCAGTACGCTTTTGTTCACAATGTAGCTGCTTCATTTCTTCAAATTTCATGAGAATATTCGTCTATTAACAGTAATTCTTGTATATTTTGATGGGTGACAAATTTCTCATGCCACAAACCTTCGATGGAGGTAGTAGTCCAACATTTACAACTGATGAACTGGCATGTTTACTAGCCTCCTCAATCTTGCAAGAGTCAAGGCCGATTTAAACAGCAAGTTGTACCGGGTGGCCCAAAAAAAAGTACTCCGGTTTGATTTGTAATAACTTCTAAACAAGTAAAGCTATCAAACAGAAGTAACTTGCATTAAATAGAGGAAGGACTAACTTAGATTTTGATATATTACAGTTGCATTTTACTTAAAAATT